GGGGGGTGAGTTCCTGCATGCTGGGTTTGAGGGCCTATTCTATTAGCAGTAGGAGACCAGTGCCTTTGTTATTGCTGTGTGTCCAGGTTTTAATTGGACAAATGCCCGGTGGTCCCAGGCGCCAGCTTAGCAAAATCTTTTAGGAGGAGAATTCTGTCTGGGTTTCCTCAAATTCCCTCAGCCACTACTCACCCCTCTGTAAAGGCGCAGAACAAGTGAGGCCGCTTAAATAAAAATCAGAGGTCTCCAGGAATGGTGGGCCTCTCTTATCACAGTCATTTGGACTGGATGCATTTGAGTATTTATCTAGGCACCATGACAGGGAACACACAAGCTCAAGTCATGATCTCTGCCCTTAAATAATTCACAATCTTATTAGAGCGAGTGGATGATAAAAGCGCAGTAATGATATCAGAATGTAAGGCAACAATACAGAGAGGAACAGAGGCAATTGCTAGGATGATTTTCCAACAATTAGTACAAAGAGTATGTGCTGTGAATTAAATAAAAAAAAAATGTGTGGAAGTAGCTTCTTCATGAGTATGGGATCCCTTTCTATTTTAAAGGAAACTGAGTTCCATGTGAACTGTGTAATATGCTATGATATCTGAGGCACAGGACAAGAGAGGCCCTAAGTGTACTATGCTTTGATATTTGAGTCATTCTTTATTGTTCAATGTGATTTATTTCTGCATGCCTGTTTTGTAAGTTAAATTACTAGAATAATACATCTTGATATAAAATATTACTAGAAGAGCGAATGATCAGGTGACATTTATTGTTATTTTCTATAAATGAACACAATCTCTGGTATGCTAAAATGATAGGTATTATAGAAATATTCAGATAGGGAGACCTACAGTCTTGATTACAAGTGAGACTTACTATCACAATCCAAATGTATTGCTTAAAAAAAAAAAGGAGGGAGCCAACTAGAAACTGAACCAAATATAAGCACTTTGAAGGGCAAATGTAAATTGGATAAGCTTTGCTATTACAAGAGCAAGAAGAAAAAATTCAGATGCAAGAATGAGAAGCACATTGCATCCACTCTAAGTTGCTGTTAGAAAAAGAATGATATACTATGAAAATACTTAATACAGACTGTAAAGCAGTGGTTCTCAACCTTCTGACCCTTTAAAACAGTTCATGTTGTGACCCCCAGCCATAAAATTATTTTTGTTGCTACTTCATAACTGTAATGTTGCTGTTATGAATCGTAATGTAAATATCTGATATGCAGGATGGTCTTAGGCAACCGCTGTGAAAGGGTCGTTCAACCCACAGGTTGAGAACCGCTGTTGTTGTAAAGAGATTTGTTCAAAGAGGATTTCCTAGAGTAGGTAGTATTTCAGTTAATTTTTTTAAATGTGAAGAGGTTAGCAAGATAAGAAAAAGGTGCAGGGGTCCCAAATTGCAGAGGGTGCAGGTGGGGCGGAGGGACCCCCCACCCCCGTGCACAAATTTCGTGCACCGGGCCTCTAGTGTATAAAATAAGTTGCAAAGCTGCCATTCTTGTGGTGATCAATTTGTCAGTTATAAAAATGTGTAAAAGTATATTGCATACCTGAAAGTCATATAATAGTGCATGTCAATGTGAATAAAAAGTAAAATGAAATGTCCTTTCTAATCCGTAGAGATTTTCGTACCTGACATCATATGTTCTTTGTGCAGATAGATCCTCTCCTCTCCCTCCTCTCACCTTCCAGAAATCAATTACCGTATGATCCCACTTACATGTGGAATATAAAAAAACCAAAATAAATGAAGAAAACCCCCCAGAAACAGACTCATAGATATGAAGAACAAGCTGGTGGTTGCCAATAGGAAGGGTTCAGGGGATGGAAATAAAAAAATGGTACATCCATTAAAAAAAGTTACAACAAAGTGAGTACTGTATATATCTTATTCAATAAACATTCATTTAAAAGACTGAGTTATGAAGAAGTATGAGTCCAAATATATTTTAAAAATTTTATAAACATAAAAATGGGTTATATACAGCAGAATATTAATAAAAGGATTCTGGGTGGTAGGACCATTGGTGATTTTTCTCTATTTTTTTATAATTAGAAAACAAGTTATGCAAAGATTTTTCGAGAGACTAGATGTGAGCAAAACATAAATGTTTAGTGAAATGTTAGTAACAAGCTCTTCAGGAACACAGGAAAAAACTGACATCAGATTGTTTGAAAACCTCAGACACATTGACATGTGTCTAAATCTATGAGAACTTAGGAGATGTGGTCAGAGCTGACTTAGTTATGGAAAACAAAGAAAAATCTATCAACTTGTCTATTTCCCTTAGAGGAGGATCTTATTCAGGAAAAAGAAAAGAGGGACCCGTGTAACAATCACATCTACCCTAACACAACCCATCCCTCGGCCCCAAAGGAGAAGTTAAAAGACAAACCCCGAATTTCCGAGTAATTGCAGGTTACATGGCTGCTGAAACCTGCTTGGAAGTGGGGGTCTTTATAGTAAAGGATAATGTGATTTAAACATTTAAAATGCAAAGAAGGCTCCTCGCCATGGACTTAGTATCTATTGGGGCAAGTCCACCTTAGAAAAGGGATTCAATTTGAGGATGACAGACGACATAGAAGCCACTGGCCTCACTTACCTCTGGAAGAGAGGACTGGGTACTGCGTGTCTGTTTGATGGCCTCCTCGTAGCGGGGAGGGTCTTTCGTCTTGGGGACTGGGCTCCCAAACAGAGAGTGCTGGACGACAAACTGCTGGGGTGGCGGGGGTGAGCTCGGCTGTGGCACACAGAGGAGCATATGTCAGCTCTGGGCAGTAAGCTTCCTCATGCCCTGGCTGTTCCTCACGCATGGGCCTCCTAGGCCGGTGAGGCTTCTGACCTAAGACCTACCTGTGAGGCTGTCTTCACTGCGATATTTTCAGCTATTTCCCCCGTGAATACTGATCTTCAGTCATTCCCAGCCTAAAGCTCTGGGCTTTGGGACGGTCTGTACCCAGAAAGCGTGTCACTGGAGCAGTGGCCGCAGGCTTACCTTGCTGGGAGGGCTCGGTCCGTTTTGCAGGGATGGAAGGGGCGCACTTCTGGACTGGAGAACGCTGCTGGGCGTCTTGTTAACAAAGGGCTGCTGGACCGCTGGAGCGGGTGGTCTCTGATATGAAAGAACTGTATTGGATGCCGAGCTTGTGAAAACCTGAAATGAATAAGTATATTCCCATCAGCCTGCCCTTCCTACTAAAGAAAACCATGTTTTAAAACGGGTTGGTTAACTTTTTCTGCAAAGGGCCACGGGTATACAGTTGAGGGTTTGTGGGCTGTGCTGTCTCCGTGGTGACCGCTCCTCTCTGCTGTTGTAGCACAGAAGTGGCCTGGACAACATGCAAATGAATGTGTGGGCGGCACCAGTACAATTTCATCTACAAAAACAGGCAGGGCTGGATTTGGCCCATAGGCATGGTTTGCCACCCCACTGAGCATCAGTGGTCCCTTTGCTCGTCTTTGATGGCAGCGTGACAGTATTTTTTGGGAAAGCAGCATTTCCTCAGCATAATTTCCCTAGTAAATGACAGCTGAATTTCTTAATTCCTCACTAGGGTGATCGCATCTATTCTCCTGGCTTTACTGTTCACGATGAAGCTAATGATCCCAAGCCCACCTCTCTTCCAACCTTGCTCCCAAGTGCCAAAGTCACATTTACAAACATAAATTTGGGACATCTCAAATGTAATATATTCCAAACTAAACTTTCCCCTTCTTCCCTCCATCCCTAGCCTCTGAGAGAAAGTAATTGCTGGTTTTGCCTTCATATTTCTTTAAACTTTAGTAAATAGAGCCACCAGTCTACTCTGCCTCCTCTCCTCAGAGCTCACATTTCTTAGAAATGACCCTTGGATCAGGCCTCTGTTCTTGCTGTCCTAATCCAGGTCCTTATTATCTGCCACTGGAATCCTGCCCTAGCAACCAGGCCATGCCCCCTGCCTGTCAACCCTCCACAATACAATCTTAGCACGCATCTGATGGAGCTCTGCCACTCACTGGCTCCTCTGTCTGTAGGGTAAAAGCTAACCTTTGGCTGGCATACAAACCTTCTCACTACCTGGCCCTTTTCCATGCTACCTGAAAGGCTACACATGCTGTGGCCATGCTCAGTTTTCCAGTTGCTTGGAAATTTCTCCAAATCCTCGCAAAGCCCCATTTAATATCTGCCTCCTTCTGAGAAGCTGTCTGATCCATTGGGCAAAGCTGGGATTTGTTCCTGTGGAACTAACTGAAAGTGTTCTGTTTAGTCCCTATTAGAGCCAAAGGTTTTAAGGCCTTTTACAAATGTATGGCCAGACTATTGATATTTAATTGTATTTCACAGAACTGGTTTGCTCATAAAAATGTTTAATATACTTTATGCCACTCGTATTCAGAGAGTGAAAAACTTATCCCCTGTATTTTTATTGTAAATATACATAAGTATTTCTTAAACATGAAATTAGGCGTGTGTGTGTGTTTATATTCCTCTAAACAGTACGACTTATCTGTCAACACCTCTTTTAAAAGGTTGAATTTCCTAATATTTGGTAAAACATACACAAAAACTTCTTCCTTTAAATTGGGAGTAATGATTCCTAATTCCAGTATTTTGAGATCAGTGAATGAGCCCTTATTTATCCTGTTTAGATAATGTTTTTCTTTCCCCCTAAAACCAAGAAAACTGTCTCAACATTTAAACATTCACTAAGCTTATCACTACACTAATATGTTATTTTCAGCCCCAAATAAGTAATATGCAGAACTTTGCATTTTTCAGAGGAGAGTCCAAAAGAGAGCATGTGTGTTCCTGTGCCTGTTCGGACCCGAGAGGTCGTTTCTGTCTGTCCCTCAAGCTCTCAGCCCAGACAGCTCACCCCACCCTGGGGCATAGCGACAGGTCTATTTAGTTATCTAGGTTCCTTTATGTTAAAGATGGAAATTCTGGGACTAATACTAAGTCTCAAGGTTTGTAATAGTAAGACCTTTTGAGGCCTTGGGATTTTTCTGGCAAGGAGATGTGCACACAGCGCCACCTACTGGATGGTGGGAAGTCTGGTAACTGTTGGGGCTATTTAACGAGAATTTTTAGGTGGAACTCCTTTAGAGGACAGTGAGCCCTAGATCAACACCATCATTTTAAAGATGAGGAAACTGACACTCAGAGAAAGACAGTGAACTGTGCACAAGGCCATCACGTAGCTGAACCAAAATGAGAGCCAGACCCAGACTATCTGGTTCTCAATCCATGAGATGGCAAACTCAAAATATAGAAACGTCTTACTCAAGAGATACATTTCAGAAAGTGTCTTTTTCTTCAAATATCTCTTCCCAGGGAACAGCACTTTTCCCCCTACAAAATGGTTAATTGAAGAAAAATTTAAGCCCAACAAGATTCTACATATAAAGATTGAAACAATACCTTTGAAATGTTTACTTAGAAAAGGAGTTGAACTGTTAAGACAAGCTATCTTTTAGTAATAAAGAACTCTCTTTCCCAAATACTTGGATAATCTGCAGACAAATGGCATCTGACCTGAGGCTCCCGTGACGGGAGATGGATCGTAGCAAGAACAAAGGGAGCTTCCTGGAGGAGGCTCCTGTGACGATGCTGAGTGGTCAAGCAGATGAGGGACCAGTCAGCCCTGTCTGTCACCCTTTAGTGTTCACCAACCTTTCTGACTTGCGGCTGACTGAGCACGTGCGGTGCGAACGTGCCTGGTTGCTGAGGCCCAGTCTGTGCCAAGCCCGAGGACAAGGTGGTGGTTGCTATCTGAGGCTGAGTCTGGACTCCTGCTTGTGGTGGAGTCTAGGAGGCAAAGTTGATAAAAATAAATCAATTTAATTGTCAAAATCAAAGTTAGAATCAAGGGTTAGGTGTGAGATAACTGGTCATTTGGGGGATCTTATCTAAAATGAAATAAGATAAAATGTTTACAGATATACACTTCAACTCATCAGCACCTAAATTTGAGCCTTAACAATTCTAAACCATAGAGTTAAACACCAGGCCAGTTATTTTCATGCTCTTATTATTCCTTAAGTGACTAAGATGTTCATTGGAAATTTTTGTGAGAATAGAAAACTGAAGTAAGAACCTGTAGCGGCTCTACACCTAATAGGTCAGGTGTTACAATGATTTTAAGAGCGGCAGGGAAACTGTGAGGCCTGAGTCTAAATTCCTGCGTTTAAGCTGCAGTGCGTCCCCTCTCTGGGGACAGCCAGCACGTGCTGGCACACACAGGCCCAGAAGGAAATGCGGTGCTTCTCCTAAATGTCAATCCTCAGGGAAGATTTGGACAGAATAAAAGTTTAGGAAAGCTACATTAAAGAGCAACTTACCATTTCACAGACTCTAAAGGTGAAATGGGAATTAGGATTTTTGCAAATGCCAAGGGCCTGTGGGTCACCTCTGCTCAGGATATCTGGGTGGTCAAGGCTGAGGAGCACCACTGCATGTGGCCCAGCTTGTTAAAACCCACTGGAATCACGTTACATAAAAACACCGTAAGGTCAATGCACAGGTTGCGTGGGCACAAAAGGAAATGACACAGTAACTCTCCGTGTCCTCAGGAGCATCCTCACTCTAACTTTGGTGGCCTTTTCCTTAGTGCAGGCACCTTCACATCGATGGTGCCTTTCAGGGACTGTGGGAGGCAGAATGTAAGAGTGGACATAAGAGTCAAAAGGCTGAGGTTTAAACAGTAGTTCTGTCCTTGGGCAACTTGCCAAACCTCAAGGGCCTCAGTTTCCTTATCTAGAAATGGGGTTTATCACTTGGACTTTCTGGGGGAAGGGAGGAGTAAATGAAGTAAGCTGTTTAAAATACTTGAGGCTGTGCCTTGTGCATAAGAAGTACTCAGTAACAGTAGTTATCACGGTGTCATAGGTATGTAAAAACATGTACGATCCTGTGTTCATTAAAGGTGAAAGGTAACAGAAATCGAAAAGCATCCCCATTTTTTACTACCTAAAAAGAGTGCTGATGTTCGAATTTTTTTTTGAATGTCCCCCCACCGCACCCCCACCAACAGTTTTCTGCTTCCGTGAAGCCTGATTTGGATGCATCTATGAGAAAGCTCAGGTGTGTGTCCTGAGTGTCCATTCCATGTGGGCTGCGAGGCAAGTAGTTAGAAGACAAACTTCACACCTGGAGTTTGAGGCTGCCCACGGGGAGCTGCACGGAGGTGACACTGGAGCCCTGGATGGACACTGGCAGCAGCAGCTGAGCAGTTTGCGTGGTCAGCAAAGCCTGCGGCTGAGCGACAACAGCAGGCGGCGGCTGTCCCTGGGAGCTCACGTAAAACTGTGGGACCACGCTCGGCTGCTCTGCCTGGGCCACAGGGACCTCTTGCTTGATCACTACAGCCTTTTTGGCGACAAGGGTCTGGCCACCCGCAGAGACAGGCTGCCCCACAGAATGGCTGGCTCCCGGGACAGGCGGCCTGGGGCTGGAGCAGTCCGTGAGTGAGGTCTCGTCTTTGACGGAGGAGCCCACACTGGCCTGTTTCTGCTCTGACTGGCTGACAGAATGAGCAGGGGCGCTGGGCTGGGGGTCCAGTGGCCGCCGCTGCTGCTGCTGCCCTCGTTTTTCAACCTCCAGTTGCATTTTCAGAACTTCCACGAGCTTTTGCTCTTGTTCCAGTTTCCTCTTTAGCTCTTCGATCTGCTTCTCTTTCTCCTGAAGCTTGCGATCCTTCTCAGCTGCGTCCAGTTCCAGAGTGGACAGAGTGCTACTGGTGGGACTCAGGCTGTCTTCGTTACTGGTCACTCTCAAAGGAGATGAACACAAGAACTGGGATGGAGACATCATGGTCATAATCTCGGTGAAAGTGTCGGCCATGTTTGTGTCCTCAGTGCTGAGACTGGACTGTTCGGAGGGAGACGGTGAGATTGGCAGAGGCGAATTAACATTTTCCACATGGATCACGTTGCTGGTTCCAGCAGGTGGCAGTTCTGCCTTGAGAGGGGAGCCCGAGCTCGTCACACAGTTATGCAGGGTGGTGACTGGCACCGCCATGGTGACTTCTGGGCTACCGGTGACGACGGCAGATGTCGACGCTGCCACGATGCCGTCAGCAGCAGTGCCGTTGCTGTTCATCTCCTGGTAGGGTTTCAGGCGTTCGATAAGGTTTGGTTTGGTGCCTGACACTGGAAGACCTCTTAGCTTCAGTTCTGTTTTCAGTTCTGATACCTGGAAGAACAAACAAATCAGCTCTCTTTGTCTGGTATAGCTTTCTGACAAGTCTACAGGACACTTTTGTGGCCAGGACAACTCCATATTATTGCACAGCTGAAAGTGGGGCCGTTTAACATTACAGACCTGAAGAATTCAGAAGGCCAGTGATAATAAACAAGGGTTTTTAGAGGGCGATTCCTCTGTTATGTCAAAGAAATAATTTACTACCAGAAATGAGTAATTACTATGTGCCAGACACTGTTGGAAGTGGGTTATTTTTTCAATTAATCTTCACATGAGGTGTTGGTATTATTGTTTCCATTTTAAAGAATAGAAGAAGATCAAGGAAAGAGAGGTTGAATCACTAGTCCAAGCTACCACAGATAACAGACGGCTGAGCTGGGGCAGAAACCCAGAAAGGCTGCCCTGGAGATCAGGTTCTTAACTGTTACGTTTCCCTGCTTCTCCCAAACTTGGCAATGAGCAGGGAAGGAAAAAATCTGCCTCTGGAGTCAGAACAGGTATGGTGCTGACACACAGCATATGCTCAATAAATGAGAGTTATTACTGGTCATTGTAATAACATTGTAAAATAAACTTAATGGACGCGAAAGGAAAGTACCGCTATAAGGGTTATCATATTGTTGGTAAAGTTGAATGTATACTGAAAACTACCTGCTAGACAAATCTGGCCAATCATTTACACTTCTGTGGTACAAAGGGTGAGTAGACTCTACTTGGAATTATCACCTTTAAGTCATCCAAGCTGGGAGGCAGAGGTCCTGGCTTCCTCACAGGAGCAGATGCATTCTGTCTTGGTGTGTTAGGTGTGGTATTGTTCAAAGCTGAATTGCCACTGTTGTTATTTTTGTCATTGAGGGGCCTTCAAAAGAAAAGGAAATTTAGAGTTTATAATAAAACTAGTGGTCTGGTGCACAGATTTGTGCACATTGAAAGGAAATTAATTAGAGGAAATTAATTAGAAGAAAGCATTATTCGCCCTTTATAATAGAAGTGTCAGAGATGAAAGAAAATTAGTAAAATGTATAATAAAATAATATATAAATAAATAACATAACAAAAACATATAAAAACAAAAACATGATATAAAAACATTGATAAAAGCAATGGCTGATAAATTGATTAAACTTATTCTAATATCTCCCACATTAAGAGTAAAAACACTTTCAGAGTGCTTGATTAATTTCCCTTGTGATGAAGTATTTACAACTTTAACGTCAGATGCTCTTCGAACTCGAGAGAAAGCAACATATAACTGACCATGTCTGGAAACGGGTTCAGGTAGGAATATTCCTACGCTGTCTAGAGTTTGTCCTTGTGATTAATAGTCATTGTAAATGCTGGCATCACGGGAAACTGTCTTCGAATTAATTTAAATGGGAGGCCAGATGGGGACAAATTAATTCTTGGAATCAGGACAACCTCTCCTTCTGCAGATCCTATTAATACTTCAGCTTCGATTATGTTAGGTCGCAATCTTGTGATAATAAATCTAGTACCATTACAAAGACCTCATTTACTACTAATATTTCTCAGTAGCATGATGATTACACCTACTTTCAATTTTAATTTATGACGCGGCATTCCCAAAGGAGTAATATTATTAAGAAATTTGATGGAAAAATTCTCCTTTTTGGCATCATCCATTGAATCGATGGAATCACTTTCTTTCAGCTTCAGAGGTACGTTATACCAATAGTTGGTCTTCAGATACATTTTGTCGATGACACTGGCTTCTTTAGGCTTCAGAGGTACGTTGTGCCAATAGTTGGTCTTCAGACATACTCTGTCGACGCTGCTTTCTTTCAGCTTCAGAATGTCGACAAAAACAACCAAATTCACGATCGACAATGACAGATCGAAACACACGCATGTGATTGGTGCCAGTGAGAGCTTGGTATGTATCACGCATGCGCTAGTCAACGTTTATTTTTAAATTGCCAGTGCTTGTCATATGTACCAGCTGGTTGGTTGGTCGTACGGTCAGTCACTTAGCCTTTTATATATATATATATATATATATATATATATATATATATATATATATGTATATATATATATATATAATTTCGGATTTGACATTGCTTCTGCTAAAAATTTGACTATTAAGTTAGGAGGAGAAAAATAGCATGGTCATGTAACTCAATATGGTAAAGATGTCAATCAAATCAGGTCCCAATAAAAATCCCTGCAGGTTGTGCTTGCTTTGTAGAGATTTAGAAAGTGACTCTAACCTTTATATGGAAATGCAAAGCACAAAGAATGGCCATGGCAGCTCTAAAGAAGAAGAGCAGAGCTGGGAGAGCCATACCACCAGATACCGGCAATTATTACAAAGCCAGTTTACTCACATGGTGTGGTGCTGGTGCAAGGGCAGAACCACAGACACATTGAGATCAGAAAATGCAGGAACAGACTCCCACATACATTGGCCTTGGAGTTATCACAAAGGTGACACCCACTGCAGTTCCATTAAATGGCACTGGCCACACTGGATATTCATACAGGAAAAAATACTGCTCCTGATGGACCCCTACCTCATATCATCTTCAAAAACCTAAATGTGGCCCTAGCCAGTTTGGCTCAGTGGAAAGAGTGCCGGCCTGCAGACTGAAGGGCTCTGGGTTTGATTCTGGTCAAGGGCATGTACCTTGATTGCAGGCTTGATCCCCGGCCCTGGTCTGGGGAGTGCGAAGGCAACCAATCAATGTGTCTCTTTCATATCAATGTTTTTCTCTCTCCCCCTTCCACTCTCTCTAAAAAAATCAATGGAAAAATATCCTTAGGCAAGGATTAATAAAAACAAACAAAATTCCTAAATGTGAATTTTGAAAACAATAAAGCTTTTATAAGAAAACTAGGATAATATCTTCATGGCCTTTGGATAGAAAATATTTCTTAAACAGGACACAAAAAGCACTAAATACAAGGGACACCTTTAAGAGGGTGAAAAGACAAGCCAAAGCCACTGAAGAAATATTTATAATACATTTTTTTTCTGACAAAGGCCTCATATCTACCATATACTAAGAGTCTTGCAAATCAGTAAGAAAAAGACAGAAAACCCAATGGGAAAATCTTGGGTAAGCATATCACAAGAAAGCATATCCTAATGATCAATAAATATGTGAACAAGACCTTAACCTCAACAGGTAGGAGGAAAATGCAAATGAAATGCACACCAGACCACCACCACACATCCAGAAGGATTGCTGCTAGACCAACACTGCCAATACCAACTACTTAGAATAGTCAGGACTGTCCCATACACAACTGCCAGAACTGTGCACTAGGGTAACCACTCTGGAGAACTATTTCACAGTATCTACTTAAAAAAACCCATGCCTATCCTCTGACCCACCAATTCCATTCCTGACGGACACCTGACAAAGACATATATTTGTCAGCCATAAGATGCAGGTGAGGATATTTATTATGTCATTTTTCATATCAGCCCCAATGGGAAGCAACCCAACTGTCCATCAAGAGTATGATGGGTAGATAAATTACAGCATACTATTCAGCAAAAATGAACTGCTATTTGCACCAGTGAAGATGCATCTCACAAACATGTTGAGCAAAAGGAGCCAGACACACGTGTACTACAGGTTTGCATTTATATAATGTTCAAAAGCAGGCAAAACTAATCTACAGGATAGAAGTCAGGCTAGTCACCGAGAGAGGGACTGATAATGTTGCATGTCTTTTTAAAAAAATTTTTATTTAATAATTTTAGAGAGAGAGGGAAAAGGAGAAACACTGATCTGCTGTTCTACCTATCTATGCATTTATTCGTTATTGTATGTGCCCGGATTGAGGATCGAACCCGCAACCTTGGCATATCGGGACAATGCTCTAACCAACCAAGCGACTTGGCCAGGGCTAATGATAATGTTCCACTTATTTTTTTAAATTAAATAATTTGTACAATGTCATTTTTAAAAAATATATTTTTATTGATTTCAGAGAGGAAGGGAGAGAGAAACATCAATGATGAGAGAGAATCACTGGAGATCGAGCCCACAGCCCGGGCATGTGCCCTTGACTGGAATCGAACTCAGGACCCTTTAGTCCACAGGTCGACACTCCATCCACTAAGCCGAACCGGCCAGGGCATGTTCCATTTCTTGATGCAGGTGGTAATATGGGCATGCTTACTTTGGCATCAATTTTCACTTATGACTTACGAACTTTTCTGTATGTAAGATATACTTCATTTAAAAAAGTTTATTCAAAAATGTTGGTTAAGCAGTTGTCAAGTTCCAAAGTTAGGTGCTTTTGTACCAATTTCCCTAAAAGCACCAAACTGAGGCCCCCCAATGACTTCTTTTTACTGTGCTACTCCTGGCATCGAAATGCAAACAATGGCATTTTCTTCTCTGGTGGCTGACACCTATTAAAGAAGAGGTGACAGGGTGGCTGATACCATGCAGTCAACTTCATTGAGGCCACGGCTTTACCATCATATAAGCTGTGGTACTGACACCAGTGAGACTCTGAATTCCACATTCTGAAAGTGGGCTCTGCGGTGATGACGAGAATGGGGTGGGGTCCACAGTTGGATGACCTTTCTCAACTGAGATTTAGGAAGCCTGTGTTTGAAGCCAGTTCTGGCCTTGTTAACAGCTAACTAACTTTACATTCACTTGAGTCTTTTTAACCTGCTTTATGTTTTGCTAAATACTTGAAATATTTGAAATTAAGTTTCTTGAAGGTTCGATGAAATGACAAGTATTTTAAATCTTATTTTTGAATTATGAAAACATTTTATTTAAATCAGTTTCTCAACCTTATCCTATATAATAAAAGCCTAATATGCAAACTGTCCCCTCAACCGGGAGTTTGACCACTCACTATGACGTGCGCTGACCACCAGGGGTTGGTGTGGAACACTGTGGGCATCGGCAATGCACTGCGACCTCTCACCGGCCATCTGGGGGCAGGGGTGACAGGGATGGAGGTGAGGTGAGAATGCAGCTACATGGGGGTGGGGTGATGGGGATGGAGGTGTGGTGAGAATGTGGGGTGTCCACTGAGCTCGCTCTCACTCCCCCTGCTACCCTCCTCCAGGACGCCAGGGCTTGTGCACTGGGGAAGCCCCTGCGCTCAGGTGCTGGGCGCCTGCGAGGAGCCCGCCCCTGTGCGGCATCTTCTGGGTAAGCCAGGCTGCAGCCGCCAGGACCACAGGGGCCGGTCAGGCTCCCCATGGGTTCGCACAGGAGCCGGTCTGTGAGGCTGGTCAGGAGAGACTGCGCTGCCCACCCGGCTACCGTATGGTGACGCTGTGTGGCCCAGAGGCCTATGCTGCGCCACAGCCTGCGGCGTCCGGCCGCACTCACCACATCACCGCGTGGAGACTCGGGCTCCATGACTCAGGTGGAGGGGGGTGTGCGGGTGCCCAGGTGCTGCCCAGGGTCCAGAGGTCAGCTGGGACCTGCCCTTCCACACCAGATGCTCACACTTTGATTGCCACCCAGGCCTATGGACCGCACCCATGCACGAATTTCATGCACTGAGCCTCTAGTATTCAATATTGTCCTTGTAAGGAGCCTTTTTAGACAGTTTTTCCTTATTGCTCTCCCTATGAAATTTTAATACCATGGATATGCTGCATGCTTGTCTATGTATTGTATCTATGTATATTCTTTATTAAATTAAAAATGTAAGATTCTCTTCAACCAACTTTTGGTCCTTTGTGAATGAAATTATCTCCTTGAGAATACATAATTTCAGTGAATTATTCTATTCATGCTCTTTTTGGTTGAGATTCTACAATACTCCTGGTTACTATGATGAACAATTCAGTATTTAATTCAACCTTTAAAGTAATGGAAATAAATTGACGTTGCTTTTCCCCAAATCAAGAGGGAAAAAGTGGGGGTTGGGAGGAGACTAATGTGATCACTGTGTGGATGAGAAACCTTAAGTTGAGAGAGATGGCATGACCTTCCAGGAACCTTTAGCCAGTGTGTGGGATTATAGCCCTGTGAATTCAGGCTCTTGCTCCTTCCATGGTACCAAAGGCTGCGTTATCAAGAAAATCCCACTACTGCAGGCACTGCAGGACCTCCACATTTAGTTTCTCGTAATGGAGTTTTGGTAAAAAATGTGTTAAAGCCATCTCCATTTCTAGACCTGGAAGCTAAACAGAACTGATGCTCAGTCTTTGTGTGGGGAAATTGTACTGAAGAACCACGGGCTTGCCTCCTCCTGGTCCCTGGATCTTCCTGTGTGAAGTTTTCCTTGGACGGGTTGGCTTGGTCACTTTAGTGGTGGGAATGTTGGCGGAGGGGGGACTGGAAGCCTTGGGAAGATAAAGAACTGAAGAGTTCAGAAGCTCACTCCTTAGATGTATTCTTCCCCTCTACAAAGCCAGTCCCATGCAGCCAATATCTTTCATTACAGGAAAGACTATTTCATAGACAGCACAAAAAATCTTTTCATAGGGTTTCAGTTGACCAGTTTCCTCGTCTGGGAATGGAACCAACAATATCAGTCCTCGTAGAGTAACCATGTGGATGCTGATGATGTGAAGGGTTGAGCACACTGCCTGGGGCATCGTCAGGAGCACACACACGTGTGCCATCGTTGCTGTTACTATCATGGAGCCCAAGGAGGGTGGAGGCAGTGGGGATACCTCTGACGTGGACAGAGCTGCCAAGTGGTGTTGTTCGTTTCTGATGCTCTTTCAGCTCTTGGCCTTCCTGGTCTCCTGCCAATGTCAACAGCTGTCTCAGGCCTGCTTGCTCTTAAAATAGTAACACGCTACAAGGTTCTTCCCTCCTTCATCTCTGTGCCCTGATGTTGTAGATTTAAGTGCTTCACAGTAAAGTCTGAATGACTAGTCTAACGTTCCTTGACATATTTGGTTCTTGAAAGAAAACAGTGAAGTGATAACCATTAGCATATGCAGAGGTCTTTCTTACAGAGAAGCCGCTTAGTGGGTCTGTTTTCCACTCCCCGGGAGGAATGCTTAGCCTCCTGTAGAACACAAGTCCAGTGTCTCCAGATCATGTGATTACAAGTCGAGGGGCTTGACCCAGAGAATAATTTTTCCTTGTATGAGATTTGATCTTTTTCTAGAGTTTCTTTTCCAAGTTGAATATAAATATCCCTTCCTCCTAAAAAGTGAACAAAGTGAAGGATGGGGGCTTTGCATTTTTACCTGTTTCCCAGAAAAAGTATTTGAGGATGCATAACTGGAAGTTTCTTTTGTTACATAATTAAAATAAGCCATGGATATCTTGCTATGGATTCAATCGCAGAAACTGCCAGTACTCACTCCCTCTATCCCTCCCAATTGGGCTCAAACTGTGGAAACATGTTTCTTCTCCATGGTTGTTGGTCACAAAGACTTTTCATTCACTGTCTTTTGGGACATCTATCTTGTTCCTTCTTTTCCATTATCACTGCCCTTTCATCTTCTGGGAACTACTTTACTGCAAAATTTCCAACTGGTTTTCCTATTTCCAGACTCCTCTTCAGTACTGGCGTCAAATGATTCTTTCCTGCATGTTGATTTTACCACGTCAGTGCAGCCTCTGAAACAACTACCACATCAAACTTAGAGTCGGCCCGATTTCAGGTTCCTGCAGACATCGGCCCTACTCAATTCTGTCCTCCACTTTCTTTAAAAACAAATCGTATTATTTAACAGGCCATTCTTCTCACCATCCCATAAACAGGCACTGCACTCTGTACCTCCACTCACATTGTTCCCCTTTGCTTAGAGGGCCCTTCCCAGTTTCAGGCCCTTCCCCACATACACATCCTGCCTTTTTCATAAAACTTTCTTTGACCACTCCAGGTTTTATGGTTCTGTGTTTTTTTTTTTAAAAAACTGTTTTACCAGCTCTTATGCTTTTCTCATAGCATTTACCACTAGGCAAATCTTTCTTGGATGCGTAATTGTGAGAAGTCATTTCTAACTTAAAAACTCAGAACTGACTTTGGAGGACAAACCGAGTGGCATGCAGGCTATTCTCACTGTGCTGACTTCAGACTCTGTATGAGAAGCTTTGATGGCAATAAAATGAAAACGGTCATTAAGCACAAATAAATCACAACATCCAACCTTCAGTAACTAATGGATCCTCATAAAAACCACAGTAAAATCCACTTCAGGAGCCAGCCCCGCCCCAGCCCCATACTTGAGTGGCGCAGGCAGGATGGTCTGGTAGTTGTAGTGCTGCTGCTGCTGGCTCAGGATCTGTAGTTGCAGGAACAGCTGCTGCTGCTGGAGCAGGCGGGCGTAGTTGGAATCCAGCTGCGGCTCGTTCTTCTCACCTTTCTGGTCTGGTGGAATGTACTGGTGGTACTTCAACTTCTTTACCCGTGGTTTGGGGTCTTTGCATTTTTTGCTACGGTGCTTGTCATTTGAATTCTTGGGGTGGCTTTGCTATTTGTGAGAAAAAGGGAATAAGAACATTTTAAGAGATGCCACCACATGCAATCTATTTTACAGTGCCTCAGGATTTGGAATGAAAAAGCAACACAGCTTGGGAACTGGTAGAGCCACCGTGAAAAGCAACATACCAGATACATTTAGAGAGCCAGGAAAACATTCACATATTCCCTTGACCAAGAAATGTTGCTCCTAAGAACTCATTTCTCCTGCTATCGTGTTCCCTCAGACTACGGGCAAGATGCTCAGCTTAGCATCATCCATTCACATTCAACAACAGTCACTCTCAGTCTTCTGTGTAGACACATTGCCAAGTGCTTCCATATATTATCTCCCAGTGAAAAACACATTGTACATTAAGTATACAACAGAAAAAAGATTAGGTATATTTCACTATAACTATGTAATATTTTATAATCATTAAAAAACAATGGAGCCTGCCCAGCGTGGCTCAGTGATTGAACCAGGAGGTCACGGTTCGATTCCCAGTCAGGGCACATGCCTGGGTTGTGGGCTCAATCCCCAGTGGGGGTCAACAGGAGGCAGCCAATCAATGATTCTCTCTCATCATTGAAGTTTCTCTCTCTCTTCCTTTCTGAAATCAATAAAAATATACAGACAGTCCTCGGCTTACGTTGGACTCGACATACGTCATTATGTCGCCATCTCCCATTTATAAAAAAAAAAAGTCCCATCATTTCGACGTACATATGTGCTTTATGTTTTTTATTATTTATTTACCTCAAGTAAAGGTCAGGAATTGTTATCTTTCTTTTAAATTTTTTTTTGCTGTTTCACTTCATTACTGCTGTGTATGTGCTCCATGTGAGTGTCGTAGGTGCTTATGTTGGTGGGTCCCGACTTACGGCGAAAATCGCATTAACGTCACGCCGTAGGAACGGATCTCCGACGTAACCTGAGGGCCTACTGTATTTTAAAAAAATCAATGGAGAATATGCAAAAACAGAAAAATGCTTGTAATGAGAATCAAGCGGAATAAAGGCTATGCATTTCTATGGAAAGTACACACACACAAAAATACTGAGCAATGTAAATATGTGTTTAAAATTTTTTCAAAAAAATATTTTTATTTTGAAAATGGTGTGTGAGACCCCATTTTATGATTAAGATTCAGATGACTCCTGAGTTTTCTTTCTCCTCCATTTATAAGTTACCAGATCACTTTCTACTTTTTAGTATTCATATTATAACTTTGGAAAAAAAAAGTCCACCAACAAAACTATAAGGTATAATTATTCCTAAGCTTCCTTAGGTAAAATACTCAGTAAGAAGACTTTTGAGAAGTACTACATTAAATATGGCTATTGGTGTGATCATTTTATATGTGTTCATATTCGAGTTAGGAAATTAAAAAACAAAAACAGCAAAGAAAAAAAGACCAGAAACCATCGCTATTAATACTTACTTTTTGCCCACAGATATCCTCATGGCAACTCCCTGCCCTCTTTTAGATCTCGCCCAAGCATGCTACTAGGAATACAAACGTCTCTCCTTGTCTGCTCGCAGCCCCAGTCCTCACTTTACCTTCACCGCCAGCCCTCTCTTGTTTTGCTGTTTACCTCTCAGTCCTAATCAAGGTGGGGTGCTTTGTCATGTTTCCTTCACTGCTTCACTGACTCTCATACCCAGAACAGTGCCTGGCACATAACAAGTGCTAGATAAGTATTTGCTGAGTAAGTTAATGATGAATGTGTATGCAATTAGAAATCACTTGAATTATCACTTACTACACATCACAATGTCAGAAAATATCCTTGCCCACTAAAAATCCTCCTGTAATCTCACAATATTAATCAGTTCATTGTCATGTGCTTATGTTTTTATCAATAATACATTTTATTTCCAGTCTTTTCAAACTGAGCATAACAATGAATGGGGTCTGGGTTTTGGAGTTGTGACTATAACTGTTAGGTAATGGTAAAACACTGACTCGACTGCGACCAGGAAGCTACCTGTTGACAAGGGAGGGGACACAAACACAAGAACCAGTGTTCCTCAGACCAAATCTGCTATTACCTATTAGCTGGGACATGTCTATTCTCTCAGGAAGCGAGGATGGGAAACAGCTTTCCTCATAGAAAAAGCCAAACAATTGTGGTCTGTTTCCTAATGTGTACCGTCCTTTCCTCCACTGGCAGAGTCCTAGGGTTACCTTCCCAACCCCTGAACTTCACATTCTTACACAATGCCTGTTGCCGCTGAACCAAGGCCCTCCTTAAAGACAGACAAAGTGAAGAGCAGAACTTCGAAGAGTAGGAGAGGCAGAGAACAAATTCTCAGTCTCTACAGGGAAAGATGGGTTGGCATTCAAATGCTCTTTGTGCCATTGTGGTACATGCTTGGGGATGTGGGAGGAGGTAAGAGCTGATTTTATTGAAGCAGTTGCCACTTGGCACCCTCTGGAATTTCTGGCTCCAATACTTAGCAATGGTAGATGGTGAACTATATTGCTCTATACCCTTGAAGCCACATAGACTCAGCCACACTGACAAAGAGAGCCAGGAGTAGAAAGAGAACCTCCTGTCAAGGACAAGGACAGGCTCAGGGGCAGATGGCGATGAGGACTGTGCCTCTGAAGAACCTTGCAATGGGCTAACTGGGAAGGCAGAAAGGGGGCTGGCCTGGAACTTGGGAGACTGCGTCCTTCCTGGCCTGGTCACTTCACTTCTTTGGGCCTCAGTCTCCTCATCTGAAAGGTAGTGAGAGGGTTAGCTGGCTCCCTAATGTCCTTTTTTAGTTTGAGATCTGTGTTCTGCTAGTTTTGGCAAAAGGCACATTGAAATGATTAAACCCCTCCGCGGGTTATCCGCTACCCCCACTTTATTCAGCAGTTCTAAGTACACTTCAAAAAACTTGAAAAATGTACTATAGAGTCCACATTTTAATATTCTTTGGGACTTATTCTGAGTTATTTTGACCAAGTAAAACACTAGGGAACAATGCCACAAATCTGCAGCTTATCTGGAGAACAAACCAAGCTTCATCTGGCCAAATCTGCTAAATCAAAAAACCGTGCTTACTTCTTTAAACCTTTAACCTGTCATGTAATATATCTGGAATACCACTGAGTTTAACCTTGTGTAGAAAGTCCAGAATCATGTTACCATTAAAGATCTGTTTGTGAGATTTGGGACTCGCGTGAAAGCACCTCCATCTACCCTGTGTCCCTTGTTCCGTCTTGATGGCCCGGGTGGGGGCAGGACTGGGCACTGCTGATAGAATGACCCCTACACCCTTCCTTGTGGCTCCAGTAGTTTATACACACCATAGTTTGTGCTGTTCTGTCATTGCAGAATAATAGGTGGTGTATTGAAGGTGGTAGTTTCAAATATTAAGGCCTGGTCTAGCAAGTCCTCCCATGCTTTTGTTTTCAAGGCTTCAGGCTGGGCGATGTGGACACATGCCTTTGTCTTACATGTGTGGGGCTACAGACAAGAGTCACAAGATACTCAAACCAGTTTGTATGTGGGGTACCCACCTTTACCAGTGTTGGCCCAGGCTTTGCTGAGGACACAGTGTTTGAGGGGAGCACAGGAGCTGTGGACCTTGTGGGGGGCTGATCCGTAGTAGCAGGAGTTTTCAAGAATTCAGGAACTGCTGGAGACACTGTAGTAAACTGGTGGAAAAGGCAGAAAGGGAACAAGTCTGTGAAATCAATGACAGTAAAAATAGAAAAACCAGAATTATAAGGGAATGACCTCATTTAAAAAAACATCCTACTACAAAAGAAACAAAAGGAAAGTATACTATTATGTTGGAGACCCAGATGGAGGAATAACATGTCTTACCTCCATAAAACCAATTATTTAATCTTTGCCCCAATAGTATAAAAAAGCTAACTCTAAATAGGGTTAGATTGATTGAACTATAGTGTTTTCTCAGGAATATGGTCAGAACCACCCTTTTTTGGCAGAAAAAAAAGTACAAGACTCTTGTAAAAATGGTCAAAACAATACATGGTATTCGTAAGGTTTGCTTGCCATACAGGTCGCGCTAATCCGGGCTAATTCAAATGTCATCTTTAGTCTTTGTTTCAGGGCCTGATGAGCCCCTCCACCACACCCAGACCCACCGTCAGGCAGCATCTGGGAGAAAGCTTCATTCCTGCAGGCCCACTCCTGCACATGTCCTTAAGTGTGGCTCACAGCTCATGCTCCTACCTCCAAACCCAACTAGGTATTCATCACCCTCTCCCCACATCTCTTGCAAAGAAAATATGGTGACTCACACTTAAAGCAAGAAGTTAATTTGTTACCTGGGCAATTATTCAATTTCAATTTGGGATCATATATTAACAAAGGAAACCACAGAAGGCTTGGCTAGGTTTTTATCAACCACCTAACAGTCTATTCCAGCTAGCACTCTACTTTAAGTATTCATTTACTGGAAAGACATATTACTATTACAATGAATCAGTCAAATCTTGCCTATTGATTACTACTTGGGTTTACTATTACTAGCCTTATCTTAAGGAAAAATGTCTTTCTTTATCACAACGTTTCCAAACAACTCTCAAATTCATTACAACAATCAAAGTCAGTTCTCTTGTTGAAGTATTTGGGTTTAAAAATAGCAAATTGTATTTTCCCTCCTTAAAATAAATGACCTGAAAAGTCAGAGGGCTATTAGCTGCAAGAAATATGAAGCTTGGCACATACTAGATACTCAACAAATGTTTGTTTAATGGGTGAATGGAAATTCCTTGTGGCTTTACTCATGCTAGGTCACACTCTCAAGCCTGCTGGGCCTGTATGTGTGTGAGTGTGCAATTAATTGTGCTGCCCATGTCAACTCTCTGACATTTTTTATTTTGCCATTGATTTCAGCTTTTAAGTAATTATCAGTAACCGTAAGTGTTGACAATAGAAAAGACTTGCTTTTTAAAAAATGGCTACACTCAGTTTCATTTTCAAACAAACGAAAGGAAGAACTTATCCAAAGTGTTGACACCTATGCTCCAGGCTGACTTCCGCCCCCAATGGCCCTGCGACGCCAGCTCCTCGATGGACCTCTGGCATGAAGTGAAAGATGTCAGCCAGCTGATCACTGCTCTAAGGGCTAGGGTTCTAAGTTATTTGTTTTCCTTTCACTTTGTACATTTTTGGGAAATGATACTTATCTCTGGGTCAATTTTCACACAGGGGAAAAACATTCCTTGGCTATTAAATAATTGGCATATGTAGTAGAATCAGATATTGAATTTTAAAATATATATTTCCTTGCAGATAAATTCTACTAACCTGGCAGCTATTTTACCAGTCCAGCCCCCACTGGCTGTTTTGATAGTAATGATGCATTTGAGAGCAGTCAGTGTTAATAATCTGAAAAATAACCCAGGAGCATGAATGTGGTGTTAACTGTTACGTTTATGGAAACGTTTTGCCTATATTTCTAAACCCTGCCTAATTGACTTCAGCCCTGATTACTGACTGGTACTCCCATCTTCATAGCTCTTTTGGTATTTCAGTGTGACTTTGCTATTCGGAAAACCACAGATTCCAGCATAATACAAGAATAACTCAACGGAGATACCAGTGATTAACTTTACCTAATCTGAAAATAAATTCAGTTAAAAAGGAAGAAATAGCCAAACTCTGCTTTACATTTTGCCAATCTGTTTCATGTGCCTTAGCAAAAACCCTCCAAAAAACCTTGGGTCATATCTAGATGTTAGAATCCTAGTGGCTAGAGTTACAAAAATAAAAATAAAAATGTAGATATTAATGCTTCTTAAATGACAGTATTAAAAAAGGGATTAAGAGAGAATATCCAAGCAATAAAAAATACACTTATTTTATTTCACAGTAGGTTGAGCAATATGTTAAAATCTTAAGAGAATGCTTTAAATGTGCTTAAACTGCCACTGAGAACTAAGTTCACCTTATGTATTATCAAAATTCAGTCTCAAAATGATTCAGAATCTTTTCTCTAAGGAAACAAAAAAGCTGCAAACTTTGCTTTGTTTTACTGGATCTGATCACTGTTCTCATCACAAGTAATAGGTCTCATGACTACTAGTTCTGTAACTGTCATCATAACGTCATGAAAGGGAATGTCAGGAAACACTGTTGCCTAAGAGTGGATATTTATGTGTTAAATAAAACTCAAAGGAAAGCACTTCCAGTCTTAAAGACTGACCTTTCTCTTACTAGAAATTGCTATGGGAAAGTACGGATACAAAAGAAAAAAACAAGTCAGAGCAAATGTTTAAACTGACTAAAGTTTCGTAACATTTCAGGGTTTAACACTGGTTCCTTCTGAAAAGATGATATACTTCCAAGGACCAATCACTGTTCTCTGGTAAGTTCCTTTTTCATTACAATTTCTTTACACAATTTAAGGGGACAAAAACTAGATAATTAAAGACAAAGGTGTTTTTTTTTTTTGCACTGTTGATTTAAAATCTATAATTAATGTGTTTTTATTTCAGAATGCATTAGAGATCTTAATTATGATGGTAATATGCAAATAGATTCTATTTAAAAAATATTTTTTCCATATTCCAATCCCCAAATAAAATGAACACTAGTCAGTGAATAAGTTGATTATAAATAAAAACATGTGCTTTGAAAATTTAATAGGTAGATGGATATTTTGTTTGTATTTAAACATTTCATTTTTAGAGCAAGTAGTTGAACATTAAAAGCGAATTAACCCATTAGCACAACATCACCTGAACAGTTAGTTGTTACTTGATTGCCTAATTAGCAGTGAGGTTTTGCATGTATCCCTCTCATTTAAAAATCTGTTTTTAAAATAAATTGTTGTAAAATATACATAACATAAAATTTTCCATTTAAACCATTTAAAGTGGAGGTGACTGGAGGATCAGGGGAAGGCACTGCCCCCATCACCCCACTGCTGCTGCCGAAGTGGGCCTAAGCCGTCAGTGGGACATCCCCTGAGGGCTCCCAGACTGTGAGAGGGGGCAGGCTGGGCTGAGGGAGCCCCCCTCCAGTGCACGAATTTTCGTGCACCGGGCCTCTAGTTTGTAATAAAAGTTAGTATAACGCTGATTATCTAATGAATGTATGCATGGCTTACCTATTAGACCTTGCATAGTCTCTCTGTTAGCTTAAATCTAAGGTTTCTATATTATTTGGCAAAAAGTCATCTACCTGAAAGTTATTGATACACTGGGGAAAAATAGTAGTTAGTTTACCAAATTTTCCTAAGCTTGTCTTCTTGAAAATGCACAGAGTAACTGACCAACAAGGTTCCTTGAAGCACTACTTTGAATTCAGGACAGGCTTGTCAGACCACACTTACAGTTAAACATCTGTGTTTATAATAATGAATTAAATGGCTTCAGAAATTGCTGAGAGAAAAGTCTTCAGATGAAAAGAACCAGTGTAAGAGCTCCCAGTACCCACATGTGGCTAGCTGTCCTTAATTTCCTACAGCTTTCCATTGTTCAAGAGTTGCTCAAACATAAAAGAAACTGAGCTCCAATACATGATGTGTGTTCCCTTTATATTTTGGTAAATTCCTTTCCAGCTGTACTTTAATCAGAATTGAAAAGACAAGAGAAAAGTCCAAGGGAAAGCAGTTTTAGTCTCTTACAGACCACACAGAAACACATCTATAATAAAAGCGTAATATGCTAATTAGACTGGACAGAGGACAACCTTCCGGACGAAGCCGGGGCTGCGAGGGCCGAGGCAAGGTGCCTCGGCTGTGAGGGCCGAGCCCCTTGCATGAATTTCATGCATCGGGCCTCTAGTATTCAATAATTGTTTTCACTGTTAAAACCTACATCTTAAAGGAAAAACGTGTTGGTGTACTGTACTGTCCACATTGCAAGGTCATTAGCATTTCAGCACTGGGGTTTCAAGAGAAGTGCTTGGAAAATCTGTTCTTTACTTAGATATTATGAGTTAAATTTTTTGGTAGGGAATGTTTCTTCTATTTGAATACTTTGCTGTAGGACTTAATCCTCTGGTATCTGTGTTCTGAAAAGAATGAAGGAGACTATAGTCAAAAGACATTTTGGAATAAAGCAAAGCATTAAGAAATCTTGAGCTTAATTTTCTCTCAACTAATTATCTGTAATAAAACTTTTAAAGAATCTAAAAGAAATTCCCTACACTGGCCTTGAACTTTATATTAGGCCAAGTGTTCAAAAAAAAAAAAAAAATGAACAGGGAACCCAGCCGGTGTGGCTCAGTGGTTGAGCATCGACCTTTGCACAAGGAGGTTAATGGTTCGATTCCTGGTCACAGGTCACATGCCCAGATTGCAGGCTGGATCCCCAGCAGGGGTTATGCAGGAGGCAGGTAATCAATGTTGATGTTTCTATCTCTCTCTCTCCCTCTCCTTTCCTCTCTCTCTAAAAATCAATAACAACATACATTTCAAAAAATGAACAGGAAAACTAGAAAAATTCATTTAAGCCATAGGATTAAATGTGCAGGATTAAATGATTAGGCAACATATGTAAAACACTGGTTCAAGTAAACAAGAAGCAAAGTGAATGCTATGCAGTGCTACTCCAAGTATGGTCTGCGGACCTTTGTTACCTGCCTGCGACAAGGATAGGAAGACAAACGGAAATCTGATGTCACCCCACTACTTTCATTGTATTTTACAAGAAAATTAGTCCACAACGCTTTGGAAATTAAACAAACTATATAAAAAACAAACACACACCAGTCTTTCCCTACAGGCAGTTGAACGACCACTGGTCTATAGCAACTAAAGTCACCATCAAACTCTTCCACAGTTCCCATTAAAAACTAAGAATCTCAAGAATATCTGAAATATAAGACATTTATGTTGCTCTTTTATTATCTTTGCCCTATAAGGACTATTTTAATATTAGTAATGAGACTGACTTGGGGGGGGGTGAGGTACAATGGTAATTTTAAAGCAGGAAAAAGTATATTGCAGAGATCGTCTCCTAGGATTTTCCATTTATTAAGGCAGTAAGCACTGCTCGTGTTGGATGCTGTGTGTTCAGTATGAAGTTACTAAGATAAAATGATGGGCCATCCCTGCCTGTTGGAAACTTCATGTCTAATGAGCAGCAGTGTTTTCACATAGGTTCCTTCCCCGTGAACTACTATAATGTGAAAGGAATTATATTTAGGGAGATAAATATATTTTTCATGTATCAAGTGAGATGCCTGGATAAGTTCTATAAACAACACTAGATAACAGTGAAAATAAAATACAAAATTTGCCAAAACAATATAGCACAGTTAACAGAGAGATACTTCTTTAATTACATGAATAAAAGTATAAATAATAAGAATCTTTGTCAGATTCCTTACTTATAAATACTACAAGGGAATTTTATGAAGGACACACAAGCCTTCATAAAATTTAAGAAGGCCTTGAGGCATATGGTACAGAAATTACATAACAAGTAAAGTTGCAGTGAGCCAGCTCTGATGCTGGGTTCTTTTACTTGAATGTGTAAGTAGGGAGTGTACCGTACTCGAAAGTGGGTATCTGCCCACAGGCTCAGTTAACAGATAAAAAGCAGACTATTATGGTCTGCACACAGCAGGCAGAAATGGTGTCGCAGCAACACCAAAGCATGTTATAAAAACTGTTTAAGTTCAAGAATGATCTAAGGCAGTGATGGCGAACCTTTTGAGCTCGGCGTGTCAGCATTTTGAAAAACCCTAACTTAACTCTGGTGCCGTGTCACATATAGAAATTTTTTGATATTTGCAACCATAGTAAAACAAAGACTTATATTTTTGATATTTATTTTATATATTTAAATGCCATTTAACAAAGAAAAATCAACCAAAAAAATGAGTTCGCGTGTCACCTCTGACACGCGTGTCATAGGTTCGCCATCACTGATCTAAGGCAATAAATAGAGCATACTTATTTTTTAAGAAACATGGCTACTCCTTTTTTTCCTTCAAGGAATTCTGGAATGTAAGCCCAATAGATAGGACTACCTCTGGTTAAAGTTTCTGACTTACAAACTTTGCTGGAGACCAAGTTTCAGGAGCAAAGTAAAAAACCTAATAGTATCAGCCATCCTGGGAAAAGGAGAATGAGTCTGCACAGGTGAACTGTCGTGAAGCCATTACCAGGTAGATGGCTGAATTTTTTTGTGTTACTAAAAATTCTGTGTTACTAAAAGCTAAGGCCATGCTATTAGCTGTCTAATATCCTGACCTACTCAGACAGAAGCAGAAAAGAACCCAAATGGATAAGTAGAACTGTGTTTTAATGTTATTTACTTTCATACTTGACATTCTTTTTAGCCCTGTTTTTAAAGCTCAAAACCAGAGTACAGCAAATATGTGAGAACATAGTAGGGGCTGGTTTTCCTTGCTCTCCCTTTCTGCCTGCTTAGACCTTGGACCATGGGCTGGTCCCTGACCCATCCTTCTTCCAGGCCAGGTTCCAGTAAAGCTCAGGGGCTAGTCACTCTTGCCCTGTAAACTTGGACAGGAGCATAGGAACTGTAGCTACCCACACCACCTTTGGTGAGTCCAAGCTGGAGAGGCTCTGTTCTCAAAGGAAGAACACAAACACTGCTGCAAACTGGATGCTAGTCAGCCTCATGGTGCTGAGTTCAGTTCAATGTTTACTGAGCACTTTTCCTGAACTTGGGCCTATGCTAGATGTTAAAGACAGACAGACAGACAGACAGACAGACACAGAGACACACACACACACACACACACACACACACACACACACACGTAGCTCTTGTCCTCTAAGAGTCAAAGTTCTTCTCATAGGCCAGTGATGGCGAACCTTTTGAGCTCGGCGTGTCAGCATTTTGAAAAACCCTAACTTAACTCTGGTGCCGTGTCACATATAGAAATATTTTTATATTTGCAACCATAGTAAAACAAAGACTTATATTTTTGATATTTATTTTATATATTTAAATGCCATTTAACAAAGAAAAATCAACCAAAAAAATGAGTTCACGTGTCACCTCTGACACGCGTGTCATAGGTTCGCTATCACTGTCATAGGCTCACACTTTCACATTTTATTTAGAGGCATAGACACAATAACAAAGAAATTAAGATAGTTCAGATTATAGTAATTAGTACAAGGAAGAAAATAATGCTGAAAGACAAACAGATATTCATGAAAGAGAAGAAATGCTGTAAGAAAATATGCAAATATTTTTAATCTCCAAACTTCCATACTTCTCTGAACCCAGGCCTCCCCTGGTATAAGAGTTAAGGCAGATAACTGTTAAATTCCTTTTCAACTAAAAAAATTCTATGATGTTAGATTTTAACAAGGACATTTTCTACTGAACTTGACTAATCCCATTAAGTAGCTCAATAATTTTGACTTTAACCCCCCCCGCCCCCAAAGCCTAGCCTTTTGCCTCATTACTTCAAAGAAAGCAAGATGGGTAACCAGCAACTCTATTGGAGCCATCAGAGAAGATTCAGCCAGGATTCTCATTCTTGCCATGTCTGCTCAAATTTACATGGTCTGATCTGGAAATATGGCCTCAATATGTGCCCCCAGTGTTTCAGTCAGTACATGAAGGATATAGACTTCATTAAGTTGGACCAGGTAAACTTCCATGAATGGGTCACTTAAGACATCTCCCCTGCCCTAACCGGTTTGGCTCAGTGGATAGAGCGTCAGTCTGCGGACTCAAGGGTCCCAGGTTCGATTCCGGTCAAGGGCATGTACCTTGGTTGCAGGCACATCCCCAGTAGGGGGTGTGCAGGAGGCAGCTGATCGATGTTTCTAACTCTCTATCCCTCTCCCTTCCTCTCTGTAAAAAAAATCAATTAAAAAAAAAAAAGACATCTCCCTTACCACAGAATGCTATCTCTTGTACATGAAATAAAAAACTTCAGTTATTTAAAAAAACACAAAAAACCCCCAAAGCCTAGCAGCCATTTTTAACAGGGGCCCTTCATGCAAACTGCTCTTTATAGAGAATTCTGCACTGAACTACCAGCCTCTGCACTGACCTGCCAGCCTGTACAGTGTTTCTGCCATCTGAGCCACCCCTTATAAAGGAATTCCTGGAATCCTACTTCAACCAATAGGACTGAGGCTTTCTCCACCTAATCGGAGTTGTGCAGCTCTGACCAACCAGAGTGGTTCTATTCTGACCAATCAGGACAGTGCCTTTTGAACCAATCAAAATGCAAGGATTTGGAGTCCTCATTTGCATGAAGACAGACCAATCAGGGCAAAGGGGTGGTGACTTCTGTCCATATAAGCCAGCTACCTTCTGGCTCTGAGAGTATACTTTCCTTTTTCACTGAACACTGCATTTCCCTGGCTGAGCTAAAACAAAGATGTCTTATCAGAGCGCAGAGTAGACCAGTGAGGACCAGAGCAGAGCTGTCTACCCAGAGAGAGGCCTGGCCTCAGGGCTGCCTTACAGCTATGCTGTTTTCACAGCCAAGCTGTATCACAGTTGAGCTGTTTTGCACTGAATAAAGCTTCCTTCTTCAACACACACCAAATTGGGGATTCCTAATGGGGCTGAATTGGTGTTAATAACCATCAGTTGACAACTATAAGGAGAGAACAACAAATTATATACAGCATAGGAGTTCTTATAAAACCAAAAGAAACATGAACACCCACTGAAAAATAAGAAATGTGTATTTCCAATGCAATTATAAAAAATATTTTAGATTCTTTTGCATGCACTAGATTTTCAGTTCCTAATACAATCTGACACATAAAAGGTGCTCAATATATAATTGTTGAACAGGAGAAACCTAGATGGTGGCATAGGTAAACACCGGAAATTGCTGCCTCGCACAACTACTTCAAAAATACAACTAAAAGACAAAACGGACATCATCCAGAACCACAGGAAGGCTGGCTGAGTGGAAATTCTACAACTAGAAGGAAAGAGAAAAGCACACTGAGACTCAGAGGAGCTGCGGAAGTAAAGTGCAGAGGTACGGAGGCGCACGTGGAAAGGGCTGGCAACTGAGGACACGGTAGTCTTTTTCAATCGGGAGGGAGTCTCAAGCTCCCAACTGCTCTGAACTCCAGTTCCAGGCAAGTCTCTGGGGACCCAGACTCATACGGGGAGCAACTGGACTGTCTGGCATCGGGCGGAACTCGAGGGCGGCTTTCTCTCAGAGGTGCTTGTAGCGATTACCGGGACACTGAGACACGGGGCCTCTTAGGGTAGGACTGAGGAGCAGCCATAGCTGCTTGCTCCGCCCTGTTGATCCCCTGAGACCCCGCCCCACCCAAGCTGTGTGCAGAGGCTTTTGCATATGAAAGGCCTGGCCCTTTGCAATCTGAAAATTACCTAACAAATTGCAGCTGGGTCAGAGAGACCCAGAATTTCCAAAAGAAGGCCCAAGGCCCCACAGCAGCTTGCATTGCCTCACAGCTTGGCCTCATCTGGGCACCTCCAAACCCCAAACAAAGAAGAGGAATCTGCAGATCTCCCCATAGCTCCTGCTGGGTAGCCTTAGGCAGAGGCTAAATTAGCACCTCCTTAGATCCAAGAGCCAGTGTACCCAGTGGTCAGAGTGGTACCATCCAGATTACAACTCCTCAGATCCATAAGGGACACACTCAGGGGGCAGACTCAGTGAGCACCAAAGCCCCACTGAAGCAAGTCTTGCCCCATAAGGTTGTCTCCAGCACAGAAGTTCTCCCACTGCAGACACAGCCGATTCTCACAGCCAATTGGCCTGGAAGTCAATTCCTCCCAGTGATTTCTACAACAATCAAGGCTTAACTACAACAAGACTGTGCACAGAGCCCACAAAG